TGTAAAAATGTTTTGCAATTAATTGTATTTTTAAAGTAATTTTAGTTAACATTAGTTTAAAACTACAATAAATAGCAATAATTTAGTAAAACAATCAATAAATGGTGTATTGATTATGGCTTTCAATGCCATCTGTTGTCAAACATATAAACCATTGATTAGTGTTTGACTCGAAAAGAGAGCCAATATTTTAAGGGATTAAAGGCTTTCCTTATAGTGAGTGAAAAGAGTGTCACAAATGACTGAAAAAACCCTAAAATTAGTGTTAAATGAATAGAAATCACTGTTTTTTCACTGAAAATGACAGACATTTTTGACACTCATTTGCGAAACAAGAAAATCGTTTGACATTTCGCTCACATCTCGTGTCCACTCATCTCTTCCGACCAATGTTTGGCCGCATCTGATCCCACAGTGAAGACCGTTATTGCCATCACTCACGACAATACATACGCTCACACTTTGTCTCACTAATTGAGAGACCGTTACTCACGAGTGGTGTCAGAGGGGGGAGAGAGAGAGAGAGAGAGAGCCGACTCGGAAGCGATGGACGATTTGACAAAAGTGTTACGAATCGGCAATAAAAACGATATCAACCAGAAATTGCAACAATTCGTGAATCAGGTACAGACCTGTTGTGGTGATCGCCTAAGCATTTCGTATCGCATCTTAATTAATGATTTGTCTTATAGTTTGGCAATCAGTTTACCATCGATGACAGCCTTCAGCACAAGAAGTCGTTGGCCGAGTGTCTGTTCCGTTTGCTTCGGGACCCGGAGTACGTCTCCCAACAGTCGCTATGCCTTCAAGTGTTGCGAATACTGACCAGAGATAAGACCAATTTGGGCGAAGTGTTTACCGCCGACCGAATCGAAACAGCGCTTCACTTAGCGATGCTCGTCGGCGAAGAGGAGGCCTTCATGACCGCCAACAACACCCGCTTCGACCCGCAAGTGGTGGTCGAAGCGCAGAAATGTCTCTGTAATCTCATCTACAACTCCCACACCATTCAGAAACTGTGCGCTAATAACTCGTGCATTGAGGGCATTATGTTGAGACTCCGTATGCATCCCGACCCACAACTACCCCAACTGGTAAGCCATTACACCCGACCCCTACCCCCACCCCACCAATGGGTCACCGTTTTTCCCCCCGTTGTGTAATACCATAATTATTAGACATTTTAATGTTTTTATAGCATTTAGTTTATTGTTTAGTCATATATTGATACAAGAAATCGATACCTTTTATAGCATTTCATATACACTATAAGAAAGTGTTTTCTCTCTATTATTGATTGCATTTATTATTAATCGCGAGAAAAGCTTAGAGTTTGTCAGATATTGCATAACAAAAGTATTTCAAAGTATATCATATTTGATGCAAAACTGATTGAATTGATGCTAAGCTCAAGAATTTACAGAATTTGATATATTTCTCACACAATGTTGTATACATTTTAATGCATTACACATTTTATGACAGAATTTAAAGCAATCGATCAAATATTTATGATATTCTCGCAGTTTTTACACAATTTAATACTTAAAGGCATTCAACCAATTGAATAGACTTTTCAGTTATGTATTGAGACATTTAGAAAGAGATTGAATTAAATGGCAATAATTGTAATGCAATTACAGGTGAAGTACTTCGATATGCGAATGCTTTTCCTAATCTCCGCGCTTTGCGCCGAAGTTCGGCCACGAATTCGGGACGAATATCACGGACTCATATACCTTATGGAAGCCATTGATCTCATACTGAAGAACAATTCGGAGAATTTGGCCGAAAAGGTTCCGAACAAAAACAAGCGCCGCTCGAAGGGCTCCC